TTTATATTCTAATGCAGGTATAGATTCCTTGTTCCCCCTTTGCTGCCTTACGTATTTATAGAAACCCTACCAACTAGTACGTTCATTACTTTGTATTTTACGGAAGAAGTTCTCTTGAGCTGTTCATTTCTCCTGCAATAACGTTGACAATCGCCTGTATTCTAATTCGTAATGATATCCCTCTTTACGTTTAGTATAAGCTTTCTTGACTTTTCTCTTTAATCTCTTAATATTTGACGTGTAGTATATAGGATCGCTGTTCTCTTTGATAATCTTGGCTGGAACAAAAAGTTAAAATTACGCTCCTGAATGAATTCCATATTTCCTCCATGTTCCTTCCGCATGAAGCCCAAGTCCAATAATTATCCCGTAAATATTCTTGGAATCCACTTTTATCTGCTTTTCCGTACAGAAATACTAATTTTCGTGATTCGTCTCGATTTGTGTTTTCCCAGTTCACAAGAAGCAACACACCATTATGGTCACTTATACCTGGTATTATTTCGTGAGCAATAACTAGTTTTCCTGGTCGGACTAAAAATACATCCAGCACCGCCTGCGCCCTCGTGGGTGTGTCTACTACCTGAGCTAAACCATTATCCCACACCAACTCGTTTACAAAAGATTGGGAAATACCCCTAGTTTCGGCGACACCGTTCCAAGAGACACCTGGCAAATTTAAGTCCTCCCTATTATAATATTTCCTGTAAGAATATCGGCGCCTTGAGTTAAGTTAATCAGTTTTTGCACGGTTGCCAAAACTTCATTTGGTGCACGATATAGTGTGGTACACTGTCAAAGGCCTCCTGGTAGTCAATCCAAGCCATTCTTCCGTTTACGCTTCCGTTTCTTTACATCATTCAAGATTACTTTATGTAATAGCAAGATTTCCTTGTAGCCATATAAATCTTTAGGACATCCTTTTTGTTCAACTGGCAACAGATGCTTCCTCTTTAGGTATCTGGACATTATCTCAGCTATGAATGCAATTATAACTTTGTACAGACAGGTGATTGGCCTGTAGTTCTTCGCCAAAGAGCAGTCTCCCGCTTTGGGTAGAAAATATGCATTGGGTAGAAAATATGCAATGCCGCATGTGTGCCATTTCGAGAGTTCCTTTGAGTTTTCTAAATTTTTATTAACATCCGTTGCTAGATGAGAATGCATTGCTGTTAATTTCTTAATCCAATAATTCTGGATCTTATCAATCCCGGAGTATTTCCAGTTTTCTTCAGTCATGTTCTTCATTGCTTGGAAGAGGTCCTCTTCCGAGAATTCGTGAGCATATTCCACTATTTCCGCTGTTTTTCGGCAGCATCAACCTCAGATTGAAGCCAAGTTGCGTCTTTGTTGTAGGATCCGCTTTCCTCCCAGGTTCCTGCGCAAAATGCTACGATGTCATTTTTTTAAGGCGTGACAGCTTTGTCATTCGGGTTTTAAGCCAGATTGCGATAGAATCTCTTAGCGTCTATTTCAAACAACCGATTCTGCGAATTGAAATCTATTCTACGTTTGTAACGTCTAATTCGTTGAACCCATGCTTGAATTTTCTCTTTTATCTTCGCAGCTACCATTAGCCTGCTTGTGTCATTTTCAATTTGGTATTTCTGTTCAACATTGAATATTTTTCGTTGAACTTTAGGTGTGCGTTAGTTTAGAAGATGCCTCGGCTAAGAGTGATATTTCACGCCGAGTGTCGGCTATCCGTTTCATAATTTTTTCTGCCATGTGGTACAGGGCTGTTTACTCTTTTTTGCTGTCGGCCGTCGATGTTCTTGGTTGGCCCCAAAATGATCTGAGATACTAGATATCCGGTTGCATACACAATGTGATTGATTTCAGTGATATCTAGATCTCTTCCTGGTGTCTGTACCACCTCATTTAAGACATTGCTATCTCTATCGCTCTCTTAGCTTTGGCATTTTCTCCTCAATGGTGCGCGAGTTTCGAATGCAAGTTGACAAACTCTGTCTATCTCGCGTCGAAGGAGATTTTGCATCATGTCCTGATCGTGTGATTCATTGCCAGATGAACTTTCACCACTCACGTGGAAAGAGATAAACAGGACCATCGTTTTCAAGTTCTGCATGTTCGTCATGTAGGTAATTCAATCGAAGAATGCACTCTGCATATCTCTGAATGTCAACAAGTTGTTATGCTGTGAATTTTCCACTGCTGAGTATGTATCATTGTTGACTGGCAAGCTTCTTTGAATCTAGGGTAGGTCTTACTTAACCCATGGGTTATTTCCTGTCATCCGTTACTGCGCCCTACAGTGGCATCGGGACACCCGCAGAGCCCAACAAGGGGTCACTCCGATCGCCAGTCGGCATTACTAAATCCTATGGGATTTTCACTGACTGCTGAAGGCAGCCTCCTTCGCCGACTAATGCAAGGTTCGGGCCTCCACTCTAATCAGTGGCCCCGTGTGCCAACCCAGTTTCTCTCCTGTACCCCCCATGGGCCGATAATTGGAAAGGCAAAGGTTCATTTCCATCTCTACTTACTCCCCACTGTCCTCTGGGGTACTTCTTCGTCTAACCCCTCATCTTCAACTTTTTCAGCAAAGAAGGCCCTACCAGTAACTAAGCTAACACTGACATAGCTCTCAGGCTCATGGGATTCCTTCCTCATGGGACTCCTTATCAACCCTCGAAGAGAGAAGGGTCGCTTTAAGGCCAACTTCATGTCTCTTGTGAACTGACTCTTCTGTAGGTCCCCTTCTGCTGTTGTTGAGGTCCTCTTCTGGAGTACTTCGTCTGACCCCTCCCCATCGACCTGCCCGACAAGGGAGGACCTACCAGTAGCTACGCTACCTCCGGCATAGTTCTCAGGGACATTGGGGTACTCAAGCCCCACCACCAATGTCAAGGTCATGTACTGCCGAGATTATTATTATTATTATTATTATTATTATTATTATTATTATTATTATTATTATTATTATTACTAAAAGTGGATTTGAATGAAATATCTTTTTTTTTCACTTTAGAACAATGCCATTTAGTATAGACATTAATTTTATATGACAAGAGGAAATTATAGTACATATGTAAAGAGGGGGTTATGTAATGCTGCAAGAGAAAGGGTCGAAATGTGCACAGAAACACGTTTTGTATGTCGCTCATTCCGAAAAAGTGGATTGTTTCCTGCTCGTATATTACTTTCTATACATAGGGTTGTCAAAATGTTTATGTTTGAGTGTCATTGAACCTGAAAAAGTGATTTTCGAAAAACCTATCTTTGTCAGTCCGTTTGAGTACGTGTAATTCAATAACAAATAGGATTTTCACTAAAATTCATCGAATCATTCGAATGATCTGACTGATGTCACGAATCCTCGAATTTGAAACGGATATTTTATTGTTGATGGAACTTAACATCAGACACCAACATATTGTCGAAATTTTCTCAAAAATAGCACCAATTCTTTTTTAATATTTTCCTTGAATAAAACAAAAGTCGAATAAAAATGGCGCAAGTCCAATTTTCCACCGGGAACAGCGTCTTTCCCGACCCTTGGTATTTTGCGCCAATTATATAATCACTGAGGTTCTGAGTAGCGATTGGTCAACGTGCCCCCCCTCCCCCGGATCGAAGGGTGTCCAAGTTCGTCTGGGCGGTTGGGAAAATAGCATTTCACCCGACAGTTATCGTAGGAGGAATTTACATAACTTTCTAACTATACATAGTATTCGAGAAAATGAAATTCACTAAATACACGTGAGTGAAAAAACGCATGGGAACTGGAATTATATTTTATTACACAATTCTGTATTTACCCTTTTTCTTATTTGTAATTATTACAAAACAATATGAAGTTGTTACATTAACACATGATATACATTTTAAATTAACACATTTTTAAACATTTTAAATGGCTGTGGAAATTCAACCGAGCTCGAAATATTGAGAGAGAGCTACCGACCCGTTTTTGCCTTCCTCAGTTCCGACAATGACAGTAACATTTGTAATTCTAACATTGAGAATGAAACATTATTGCAATTTCACCAATGCGAAAGAGGACTACGGCGCGACTGTGCTGCGGCAGCGAGGCGGACCCGGCGATGGTGCTGCTGTCGGAGGCAGGCCTGCTGCTGCGCGACGCCGCGTGGGCCGCCGAACGCCCGCGAAGCCGCGTGCTGCTGGAGCGCGGCGCGCCGCACGCTTCCCACGCTGGCGCCCTCGTGCACGCTCCCTGCTGCCTGCACGACTGCGCCTGCCCGCTGCTCGTCGCCTACCACGGACCCGGGTGCGCTTATGGCCATCAAACACATTGATTTTTTACTGACACGTAATTGCTTATCATTGCCTTCTTACACAAATATTTATTTCTTAATCTAATATATACATTTCAGTTGCCGTCTGGCTTAGTGTAAATTCTTACTTCTATGACTATTATACATATATACATATATTTTTTATAATACATAAATTTATTCGAGATCTAGGCGGGGGCTCCAGCTTGTCGTTTGGTCTTGCAGATCTTATGTGTTCCGCAGCTAGCTTCCTGTGACATGGGCGCCTCTGCGGACTCTGTCCCGCGCTATCTGTTTGTACTCACGCGGGGCCAGGTGTATATTGCCGATGTGCGTGTAGTAGCATGCCGCACTGCCATCAATGGCGTCAGTGACTATTTTTTTCCCTTAAAGCTTTTAGCTTGTGGCCGTCCGCAACTTTCTTTAGTGCGGCGTCACTACCCGCACACCATTCTCCCAGTGCCCGTATCACAAGCGGTAGTACTTCGGCGCTGTGGTAAGCGGCGCATTTTTGGCGCTTTTCTTCTAATTTCTTCTCAAGTTTGCCCTCTCGTGCGTCAGCCACCGCGAAGTCCACCACGAGTGCCATTCTGCCCCGCGCGAGTACGAGATCAGGGCGACTGCTGCCCACCACTGCCTGATTCTCTCGGAGCACCTGCCACCCCCGCTGCAATGGCTGCTTCTTTATAAATGGCCCCGAAGTTGTTGTGTCGGGCGTTCCATAAAGGTGACAGGTAGCGGCACCCCGTGGTAGTGTGACCAATGTTCTCGGATGCTGGTTGCCCATTGTTCCACGTATTCATTGCGTAACTTATCTGAATAGTAATCGTGATAATGAGGGAAATGAAATCAGTTGAATGATTCTACATGTTATCTTATGGAGGGATTATGGGAGAGAATATGAAATGACAAAGCGAGTCAATATTAACTGGTGTCTCAAAATAAATATTACAAAATTCTAAAGCAAGAAAGGGATCGCAGATGATAACGTTTCGCCCATGAACATCTGGTGGGAAACATGACAAAACAAAATTTTACAAATGACATTTTCTCCTGATCGTTAAGCAACTCTTTACTCGCTGTTTGTGTTTGTGAAGTAAAAGAAATCTCTTTGCGTCTGGACATGTCCTGCCAGACGTCAATGCATAAAGAGTTGTCTACAGATCAGGGTCAAACTGTCACATGTGTTACTGCAGCATATGAGATTTCCCACCACATGTGCATTGACAAAAAGTGCTCATCTTGTACCGAGAAAATGTGTAGTTCATGCAATTAATCACGTTCTACAACCATTAGTGTTGGTCAAATTTCTCAGAACGCGCGCTTACTAAGTAGTCTTTAGAAAACGTGAAGACATGAAACATAGATCTTATCGAATGATTTTTAACTACAAAACAATTATAGTACCACTAAGAACTCTCTTCGGAAATTCACTTACGATTTTCAATTGTCTGGTTTACCAAACGAAACTAAACCATGTTTAGTGAATAATTGGATTTACTTTATTATCGCTTACTAAACATATTTATTTTTTACTTTATTGCTTGCTATTGCCTTCAATACGAAGCTAAATATACACTTCATAATTTACCTGGGTCGAGAGAATCGTGGTTACGAGGTAAATACGAAAACAGTTGAATGATGACACATGTTCTTTTATGGAGAGAATTATGAAATGGAATTACGGGAGGGGAATATGAATAGACAAACCGAGTCAAGTTAAAAATTGGTTAATTAGTAAATAAGTCAATCTGAATCACTAAAATTAAGACTGAATGAAAGGCCCTCGGGTATTTGGCGCAACTCGATCATTATAACCCTAATAACGCCCTTGGTACATAAATATCTACACAGGAGCACTAAATAAAAATTCTTGTCAGACCCAAAACTTGACACATGTTTCTGTATTTCGATGCGCTGAATCCGAATCTGAAGTGATAATTGCGCCACCACTTTCCTTTTTTTAAAATGAGAAAACCATCGTGAAATTGGATTTTTGTTTGTTTTCGGGGGTTGTTATCAGACTCATAAATGCACTTTCAGGGTGGTTTTTCGTGATTTAAAAACAATTAGATGGTGGTGGCGCAATTGTAGCTTCGGAGTGAGCGCGTCAACATAATAGAGAGCCGTTTATCAAGTCTTTGTTGTGTGTGCCTGTGCTCAGGGACGTGAGCGGGGCCGGGGCCGGGGCCGGGGGCGCACTGGCGGCGAGCGCGGCGGTGAAGCGCGGGGCGCTGGTGCCGCTGGAGCGCGCGCGCTGCCGGGGGGCGGCGGCGCTGGTGGGCGCCGTTCGAGCGCTGGGGCTGGCGGGCGGCGTGGCTCAGACGCACCTGCTCTGCCCGCGCTCCACCGCCTACCTGGCCGCGCTGCTGGTCGACGTTCCCGGCGCCGGCCCGCTCGTCGTCTTCGGCGCCGGCGATAGGTGAGGAAACACCTGCCAAGGCTTCATTGCCGCCATCTTGTACTGCTTTTTAGGATTACATTTTCACCCTGAATCAGGATCTGACGTTACTTTTTCTTATATCACATCCCGTTTTTAAAAAAAATATTATATTACATTTTTTTCATTCATGCACTAAGGCACTTCTTACGTTGCACTTCTTAGGAGTTGCTTTAAGATTTCCAGATTATTAATTCAATGTCCTGTGTCCATCAGCCAACCCTCTATAATCCGATTGTCTAGAGCCAGCAACACGGTACAATGGAGCAAGTTTTGCTGAGCGAAATTTTGTTGTGATTTGTCCCCTAGAGTGAGTTGCGTTTAACTTGCTAACTAAAAGATATATTTTGTCTTCGTAAGTGTTCTATAGCAAGTGACATGCGATGTTTAACATGTATTTCAATGAAATTTGTTATACTTTTATTGAAATTATTGTCGCGAGTTGCGGAGGAAAGGGAGGACTGCAGACAGAAACTCGTGCAGGGTAAAATGAAACAGTTTCATTAGTATAGTTTATTGCACTTACCCGGGTAGTGAACCCTTCGTCTCGAGAGTGGGGGGCGGCGCGATGGTTGTCTCCGGCATCAGTGGTGGTATTACTCGCGGACATTTTCTTAAACGATGGATTGAAGAAATGCGAGTAAAGTGAGCGGTATTAGTTACGAAATCGGTCACTAGATTTTATGAAGCACTGCCAATCTCTGGAGAATTGGTCATGCCTTCATAACTTTCTCAATAATTTGCGTTCTAACTTTCTCAGGAGTTCGAGGTATCTCCTGTGATGGATCTCTACGTGTTTCAGTCATTTCTTTATTATTATTATTATTATTATTATTATTATTATTATTATTATTATTATTATTATTATTTTGGAAAATCTCAGACAGACTTTCACGTCTTCAACAGAAAATATTTTATATTTCGCGTGAGTGAAGATGTGTTTGGAATGTTGTCATCAGTGCTCGCTGAGAGCTTTTGCTTTCAATTGTTTATTGTGCCAGAGAGGGGGAAGCAAGATCATCGTTCAAGAAAAGTTGAGCGACTAATAGCACGTCAAGAGAGGCGATCCTCGCCTTGTTATAACCTCGGACCGCTAACGTCGGTGACAACTGGGTCAACCACCAGCGTCAGCGTCAGGGCCGGAACGCCACATCGCGAAACCACCCTCTCCCCGGAAGAAGGATCGCGCTTCAGTTTATGGATGCATTATATACATTGTCCATGCAGTAAACACGATATTATACTTAACAGTTAATGAATTAAGTAAAAGAAGTGACAAGTCACAGAGCTAATACATACAAGCGTATTTGCTAATGTATTTGACTACCAAACTTCCTGAATATTTAATAAAAAATAAATCTGCCCAGATTGGAACAATAATAATTTATCACTCAGGGTTAGTTAAATTTAAGAATCCTTTTTATTTCTTAAGTCCATTGCTTTATGAAAAAGCACACTAAAACTGAGGTTATCACCCTTTTGTGATGAACATTTAGAAGCTAATGAAATTTAAATAGCAAGCGGCCCTAGAGAAAATATAAACAAGGAAACTAAAATTAAAAGGTAATTAATACATACAATGAATTAGATCTCTGGTGAGGTAGATACTTTCCAATAATTAAGTATAGTAAATTAAAGATGTTGTCTGGTATCAACAATTAATTTTGCTAATTATCCTTTCGATCGTGTAGCGATCATCCTCGGAGCTAATTATCGCATGAAACGCTTGGAATTATCGAAATGAAATTATATTAATACATGAATTATAAACAATTAGGGATAAGTTAATACAAAATATAGACATTGCATATCAGATGCGTAAGCAAATTGGGTCATACATACAATTGCAGCTACCGGGCCTAAAGACGTTTCAACGTTCGTACGTGCCGTACAGTTTCTCTCTTTCTAGATGTCTCGTATGGCACGGAGTCAATCGCGTTACGTATTTTTTTTATCTATTACTTTTTTCAGTAGTTGTTGCTATGCTTCCCTACACGCACTATTCCGTTTTTTGAATTAGCGTGTATTGCTTTCCCGCCCATTGCGCCTTGCGCGAACGATTGCGAGTAAGCGGCAAGCGGTGACAAACGCTTGCATAGGTGCGTTGTTCCAAGGAGTCGCTGATGCCGGCAGGAAGTGCTGAGGCGGAAATGCAGCGCGGTGCTGTATGGCAGGATGGGTGCGGTACGACGGGTGACTGCATTCGGGCAGATAACTAGTGGCTACATTTAAAGAAGGGTCGGAGGCTTGCACAATAGAAAACGAATGGGAGGGTTGCATTTCCATTGCCTCGTCTTGGGCACCCAGTATCCTTGTTCCAACCATGGTACACATATGATTACCGATTACACGACTACACGATTGAAAGAAGACCCGCTAAAAGAATCTGTCAATTGTCTCGTTGAATTCTCGCGGGAAATTTTGAAAAGAAAGACAAAAAATTAAATAATGAAAGAAAAAATTAAAAAAGGGAAAAATCAGATGATGCGACCTTAAATCAATTTTAAATAATCATTTGAGTTCCGTGAAAACCCCACGTGACATCATTGTAGCGAGTTGCGGAGGAAAGGGAGGACTACAGCAACTCGTGCAGTTAGTAGAGTATCGTTAGTATAGCTTATTGCACTTACCCAGGTAGTGAACCCATCGTCCCGAGGGTGGGTGGCGACGCGATGGGAGTCTCCGGCCTCACTGGTGGTAACACGTCAAGAGGGGCGGGGTGTGCAACACGCGCCCTCGGACTGCTGACGTCAGTAAGTGACAACTGGGTCATCCACCGGCGTCAGCGTGTCGCAAGGGCCGGAATGCGACATATCAACATTCTGATAAGATAGCAGCGCAAAATAATCGTCAGAAATGGCTACTATGCCTATTTCGGCATCAAACTGGAAGACCGAAACAAGCCGAGGACCCAACATATGGCTTATAGAACGCATATAGAACCGTTACGGTAATTTCTGACGGTGATTTATCTCTTGAAGGTGTTGAAAGTGACCTATACGTTTCAAGCAAAGTGCATTAAATGATTTCGTTCAAGATCTTGGCCCTTCAAAGAAATCTTCCGAGATACTCGGGTCTCGACTTCGTGAAAGGAACATGTTGGCAACAAGGACGACGTACTACTGGTGCAGATGCATCTTTTCTAAAGAGGGAACTTTGGTTTAATGCATCAATATCTCGGAGGTTATGCTGAAAATAGGATTACCACAGTATGACCCAATACAACCGAGACGTTTCATCGATGCCTCCAAGCGTAATTTGTAGTGGGTCCTTCTTCACAATGAAAACAAACTCATCGTTCCCATTGCTCATTCTGTTATTATGCGAGAAACATACGGACATTTTGATATAATACTGTGTAAACTGAAGTACTAGAAACCCAAGTGGAAATTTTAAACCCATAGGTATACTGTTAGGTTTACAAGCAGTTTACACGAAACACCCCTCCTCTTTGTGTGAGAGGAGGGAGTCGAGCAAGGTTAGACCAGTGGACTAAAAAAGAATCGCCACGTAGACTGTAGATTGTAGGTTCGAAAAACATACATCAAAAAAATCCTTGTTGACAAGTCCGACAAACTGAAACCTCCACTTCATATCAAACTTGTGTTTCTGAATCAATTTTTTAAAGTCCTAAACAATGAAGGAGTGCCAGTGTCATCGCTTCCATGGCATTAGTAATGGAAAAAATCAAAGAGGGTATCTTCACAGGTCCAGATATCGGAAAGTTTTTATCTGATGCTAATTTTGACGATTTTATGTTCGCTGCAAAGCGATAGGCATGATAATCATTCCGGGATGTGGTCAAACAAATTTCTTGGTAAGAAAAAATTCAGACTACAATCAAATGGTGGGATAAAATGCTTGTTTCTTTCCAAGGTTTAGAAGCACAATGAGCATAAAAGTTAAATGTTACATTCATATCTAGGCAATTTCTCTGAGAATCTAGGAATGCTGACCGAAGAGCAAGGAGAAAGATTCCACCAGGATCTAAAGGAATTGGAATGCAAATATCAAAGGAAATGGAACAAAAGCATGCTAGCAGATTACTGATGATTACTAAAAAAAGGGAAGATCCAACTACTTTTCATATGCTAAAAAGCAAAGAAGTTTCTTAAATCAAGTTAACAAGTTATAAAATTGAAACCGTGGTCTTACCATTCTCAATACATTATGAGGCACTTGGTAAATTTTAGTGTTTTTCTTCAAATATGTATACACAATGATTTTCATATTTCTACAAAGGGTACTATGAAAGTTTTGCAATACAGCTTTATTTATTTAATTTTTTCAAAGTGATTTCCGCCACAGTCAATGCACCTTTCCATCCTCCGAAACCAATCCCTAAACCAGTTCTGCCAAGTTTCACAAGGGAGTAAGGCACACTCGTTGTCCCAAGCCCTCAGAAGGTCATCACTAACATCAATCTAACCACGAGACCACGAAGCCATACCAAGCACTTAAAACTACAGTTACCGAAGAACTGAACCCAGAGACGCGGCACAGCGACTACTGTGCAAGTATGAACATGTCTCAGCACCCTGTGACTTACGGTTGCGTCGTATTGCAAAACTTTCCTAGTGCCCTTTGAATGTTAAGTTCTTACGTAAGTAATACAGTAGTGTTCACATGAGGGAAAAAATAAGAAAGAAGCATTCCTTACATATAATAAATTAATATTCATCTTGCCTGTGTGCGTGTCTTAAATTTTTCTCGCATTTTCATTTTGATTTTCAAATAAACCTGATGTGATACAGAAAAAACTGATTTCAGTTCCGGAATCACCATGTCAGAAATATTGACGATCACTACTGAAAAATTATGCAAATGATCGGAAAGTTTAAATTCGTAGGTCAGTGTAATGTTATCTATTTCTAATATTAATACTGTTTATAAAACTGATCTCAAGATTGCTAAGTTTAATCTTTGTCAATAAAAATTTCAAAAGTTGGCCGATCTAGTGACGCAGGGTCTGATACAGTTTAACTAAATTCGCGCATACTAAGGCTGTGGGTTCGAATCCTGCGGAAGGTATAAATGTTATAAACAGTTATTTTAGCTTGGAGTACATTAACAGTCCATCTCTACGTCTCTGTATCTATGACTTTCATACCGTAATCCTTCCGTGATTCCTTACAGTAAAGGTAAGGTGTGTGTAAGATCTGTGTGCAATAGCTGATGCACTGGCCTAGGATACCTTGAACTGTTGCACACGTTCATATAGGTTACACGTCTGAGATGGACCTAGGAGCTTCGTTATGGATTCTTTTATTTACCGCAAAGCAGAAGCCTTATTTCCCATGGCGAGACTCAGACCATAAGGCCTGCTCTTCTGCCAGACCACGCAAATACCGCTATGCTCATTTCATCGTCTAGCAGAGGCTTCTTTGAGGCTAGAAAATCTTTTACATGCTGTAAATCTACAACAAGGATTTACTTCCCCTCCAAAGGAAGAAGTACAATGTTGTTGTTGTTTTTTTCGCCCTTCAAAATCCACGGCTTCGATCGGGTCTGAACCTGCAAACTTCGGTACAACAAGCCGATTCGCTAATCGTTACACCACCGAAGCCACCAAAGCAGTTACAGCGCGAAGCCCCGGTAGTTCCTAATGGGCATCGGCCAAACCCCGAATAGTAAACCCGCCTGAAAAAAAAAATCGTCAATTTAAAAGAGTTATATTGTCTTCGAAATGCAACTTAATTTAGCAAATATTTAAAACATACGGCAATTTCACATTAGGATTAAATATTCCACAGGTGACAAAATTATTCCAAATGTCGGTCCCAATTTAGTTATCGTCAACCATTTCACTCCACACGTATAACCTTAAGGTAATTCTCAAACTAATGATCATACTTATCTTTTTCAACAAATCAGTACCATTGTAGATTCTTAATATGTAATAATGATCATAATTTTTTCCATCAATAATATGTAAATATGTTCTATCAACAGATCTTGGACTAGTCTTGAGTCGCGCGCGTAGTTACAAAACGAATCAATTATACGAATCGCTGCTAATTACATCGAAACAACTTTAAAAACTCGCACCGTTTTACACAGTCTTTTTATTTACTGTACGTAATCGTGATGGAAATATTTTTACCGGTCAACGCAAAACGTGCTGAAGCTCTAACACTTAGGAACATGCTAACAAATAAAGTAAGGGCTAAAAATACAGAACAAGACGTTATTACAAGAACACAACCATTTTACTTCTCACAGTAGAACCCAGCACGCAAAAACGCTCTAAAAGCTGCTTAAAATAAACAAATTGCATCACAGTCACAGCGACCGTTCAAGTTCCGGGAAGTGGTGCCAGAAGCGCGGTTGTCAAACTGGACGTTGTCTGTGCAAGATGATGAGGCTTGCTTCATTTTTATGTACAGATTACATCCAGAGTGATCCGTCCCTTTTCTATACCGACGAAAGAGGATGAAAAAAGCGGGCTTAAGCCTGTAGTGTTCGTATCCCCTTTTGGAAAGCAAGTGCTCGCGCGGGTTGCACATGTGACCCACGATAAAATTATATATTTTTTTAGATATGAAGAGTTTGGTAACAAAGGTCTGAATAAGTACTCCGCTATATCAAAATGATTATTTTAATATATTGTGAAATTCATTACACTTTAAAGCATGGCGTTTGTCTACCTGTATTGTCAGATGACAGATAAATCTCGAAACTTACTGACAGGCGACGAAGCATCTCGATATCATATTAAACTTCGCCACAGCCGAATCTTGTCGCCTCCACGCCTTCGTGCGAGTCAGATGAGCAGCAATGCGGAATTCTGGCTTGAGAAAGTTAACAAATCCTTGCAAGCTGATTGCTTGAGAGCAGGTCACATGACGTACCGCAGCAAGTGGTGAGAACTGTCAGAGTCGCCTACACGCTGCCAAAGCTGTATACTTCATTTTTAATTTAGAACTGCATTTGATAGGCCGTCAGCTGTTACGGTGTCATCCAATCGGGAACTTATAAGTCACATCTGTGACGCCACTATGGTGATGTTCAACCTCCCGATTGGATGACATCGTAACAGCTGATTTACGTCATGTGCAGTTCTGTGTAGAGGGGCAGCCCCGAAGCCCGCTCGCTCGGTGGCGCAGGAAGTCGGAGGCGGAGGCGCAGCTGCGCGCGCTGGGAGTGCCCGCGGAGCGCGTGCGCGTGTGGGCCGAGCCGTGGTTGCAGGCGCCCGTCGACGCGCTCGAGGGCGTGTGCTGCGCGCTGGTGTCACCGCCAGGGGCGCTGGCGGCGCTGCGCGACCCCGTGGCGCTGGCGCTGGCCCGCGGCGGCGACGTGCAGCTGCTCGAGGAAGCCGCCGACGCAGCCATGGCCGCGGCCCAGGCAAGCGCTCAACGGGATGTACAAGGGGTCAAGATTGCCTATGAACGTATTCATGAAGAGAAGTTCATTAAACGAAGTTACACACGTGGCATGTGGCAACCCGTCGTCTATTGGAGCTTTGTAGATCAAATCAAAGATATATCAACTTCTCTTATCTAAGATAGAGAAGGGTTTTTATCCACCCGACATCCGGTTATCCTTCACGTATCGATGGGACGCAGTTTCGACCATACACTAGGCACCAGCACCCTTACAGGCTCCTATGATCTGGAGTCAACAGATTGCGAGATCCTCCGCGACAACATATTCATGAGAGGCAAGGGACAAACAACCATGTCCTAGGTGGGACTTCAACCCACGAACCTTTGAACCGTACGATGAGAGAGATTTAATATAAACGCAAAAACACCTAAGCGCGATGTTTTGCCTACCAGTCAGGAGCAAATGACACAGTTGCAACTTCGTTTCACGAAATTTGTCACCACACGTTCATTGACAACAGGCTGACATCATTGACATCTTTGACGTTCTATATGTTCTCGAAGTTTTTCATTTATTCTGAGCCACACATTATATGATTCCTGTCTTCCATGTGCCAGATTCAGGCTGTGACCGCCATATTGAGACCGACTTAACTACTCTCCCAACACCATCCGGATCCCACATAATACAGCCGTCTTTACAGAAAAAAGAAAACATTATACTTGCAAGTTTTCTTGAGCCACGGAATTTCTACTCCCAATCTTTTATGAACATTAGTCGAATTAATAATGAAAGATAGAAACACGGGTTAAAGATTTGACATAATAGACCAGTCGAAGAAATAAACAACTCCACTATTCCCTTGCATCTAACGAAATGAGGATTGAAGAAAACGTGTGCGAGTTACCCTACGTGGCGTTATCAGACCGATGCTGTGAACTGAGGGGTGGATTTTTTGCAGTCTGCATACAAACTCAAAATTTTCATTTTGCAAATTTTGTTTGCCGCAATCCGTCATTATTCATTTTTATATTTAATTCGTTGTGAAAACTATATTTGTAACTATTTTATAGTTTATGAGTGTTAGTAATAATAAAGGTATTAGCCGATTGAGTGTGTATTATTTTCTTTGCATTGGTACCATTTCCTTCATCTTGTTAGTGATTTCTTTCACCTCAAGCGTAGAATACAGTAGGTTTTAATTTTTAAAACTTTTCTTTGAAAGAAACTTTTTTCTTTAAACTTCAATAGTGAAACACGTTTCATGGAGTGATTACTCTGTTTTAATATGGTGATCACCGCAACATAACCGATCTTCTTGAAGATCAAAAGAATTGTGGTTACTTCCTGATCTTTGGCGCTACACCACCACCATACACTTTCCAAGGCTGCGTTATGAAAGTTACCATCTGCTCCCAAATCATACTTGTCGCAGCACGACACGACTGGTCACCGGTTGCGATATCTCAGCAACGCCGATGCTTTTGCAGCAGCTTTTAACTACGTAGCTCTTGCGTTCGAGTCCCATCGGTGTCAAATTTTCGATTTCCTACGTGTCTGGGTTTAGTTCAACCAGAGGCTGAAGGAGAATTCTAGCTGCAAGTGCCCTCCTCATTAGTTTTCCGTGATTTCTTCTATAAATACCATGTGAATGCTTTAACAGCATTTCAACAACCGGATCATTTACCACGTGCGATCTTCCATTCTTCATTCTTGTCCTATCCTTTCTACTTACACACACATGCACTACCCTACCACAGCTGAGAACTTAAGACAAATCTCTCATTTCACCGTAAGATTGGTTGTTTTATGTCTTCGGTGCGTGTACTGAAATGGTCATTAGTCACCGGAGTTGACGATGTCTTTCCCCCACTGGATGGTGATACCCGGCGCTGGTCTAAACGTTGGTTTGCGAGGTTTTCTCCATCCAATTGTCTGCCACTAGCGAGACACTGCACTAGCCGATCCGAGCTCTAAGCTCCCGATTGGTCTTCTGATATGTGTGGTAGTATAGTGTTAGTAAGGTTGTAAGTAATGTTAGTAAGGACATGTGTGGTAGTGTAGTGAGTGTGTGTGTAAGTAAGGGATGAGGATAGTTTGTAGAAGGGGAAGAAATGATCGCACAATGGATCTTGGAATCGTGAAGAAGAACAAGTATTTCTTTACATTTGACGAAAATATCTAGAAATGTAAGAAATTTAAGTAGTATATGAGGGTATCTAGGAGGTCTTTCGTTGTGCTTATCAACAAGTTTTCGCCTTTTCTTTTTAAGTCTTATGGAAAAATCAAAAAAACTTAGGGTTGTTTCCTTTATTATTGTTGCATTTAATAGAAAAAAAGTGCTTCCTTTTCGACACACGCTTTTTTATTCATGTCTAAACTGGAAAAGTATATATAAGAATTCAAGTGAAGAATATTAAATATGTCCCGATTATAATCAAATGTAAGGTTAGAACGTTGGTTGTATGTATTTTTTTATTTAAGAATTATTTTGTATTTTTTTTAGACATCTCTTAATAAACTCAATCTCACAAACAAATCCGTATACTTTAGTGGCTGCTATCCGTTTTACTTTGTCTATGTCAGAATCGCTAGTTGTATGCGCGAATCCGTAAGTAGCCAAAAAACGGGCTGAACTGCGTTACTGTATGATACATATACTGTAGTTCCGTTGATGTGTCTTCGGGCATCAAATGATGTCCCTGCAGTACCTCTGAATGGGATAGAATCATGAATAGGGTTGAGTCATGACTCGGGCAAGATTTTCGATACTAGAGAGCTAGGTCGAATTCAGCTGCTGCCTGAATGAGAATTCTAGCGGCCGACTGCTTTGATCGGTGGTTTCTCCAATTATTATCAAGCGAATGCCGGACCAGTGCCTTATCGAACGGATCACAGACCGCATGCGGTCTTTCTATTCTAAGTTTCACCATCGGCGGAGAAGGAAAGCCACCTCCCCATTTACGTGTGCACTTAGAAGCTTAATCATCATAGCGGTTTACACTCCAGAAAATAGTAAGTAATAATCATTCAAACCGGTGCAATAGATGTTTAAAATAAATATAAATACGTGGTTAACTCTGGCTTACTTCAGCTAATTACCGTAATAACAAGAAACATCATAATCTTTACATCTAACATAATCAACTTTGCAATGTTCGAAAAACAACAAAATTCAGCAGAATCGAATCTGCGCCGTTTTTATAAGCGTATTTTCTTCTATACAATAAAATAATTTAATCCTAAAATTTGGAATATTTTTTAAAATTGATGTTCTTAAGGTACCCACAAGATTAAAATATCAGTTGTAATTTCAAGGAGTCGCGTCATCAGTCTGATCGGTCGGGCAACATTAATTTTGGTGAATACTGTGACGTCATGGATACTCACAGCGAACACAGACACAGAGATTTCATTTAACAAATATTTATTTACAAAGAAAACAACAAATATTTACAATGAATTTCCTTCTTACACCCTAGCTCTGATAGACCTACTATCCCCTGATCGCGGGAGCGATCCAAACCCGATTGAAGATCGGTTTCGATTGTGGCATTCGCCACTCCTACTTCTGAAGCGCGCACAAAGCCAAGCTTCCGTGACCGGATGTCACACTGGGACACAACGTCCGTACTGGCGTACCAACTGATGGTTTGCCTCGATCGCAGGAGCGATCTTACCCGTTTGAGTATCGGCGTGACTCCTGGCACTCAACCACTCCTCACCTCGGAGCACGCACACAGCATCGCTCCCACGTGACCGCAGTCACCCAAGGACACAAGGACACACAGGCTCGTCAACACGTTACTTGCCTCGCTAGCCCGGCCCGCCGATGTACCTTCGTGGCGCCAAGTTTTGTGCAAATGCTCGAGGTTCTCCCACTGTCTCCAGAACCCACCCACTGGTTTTGTGCAGTCCCTTTTATAGTCGAGGCTCACGTGACCTACTACGTCACGCCGCCCCCGCTGCATTCTATTGCTGACCATTGAGGGTTTGGGTCTCCGTTTCTTAAGACCGGAAGACCCCCAAAGCCTCGTGTCTCCCGTTTCCGCGTTCTAGCTTTAAGGAAAAACCCTTCTCTCTCTCCTGTGGTGAGGAGTTTCCTCTTACTAATCCCTTACCAAGCGTCCCCAAATAGATGTCATGAGGCACGCTGACTAATACGTTACAATACCCTGCTTACGGTTTAGCTGCTAGCATGTCGTTTACAAACAAAGAGACTTAAGGATATACACGTAGGCTTCCGAGGGTTCGAGATCATGACTTCTAGGCTGACCGGTTGACGCCGCGTTGTTGACAGAGAGGCAGACGTTTCGTCTGTCATGTCGCAGGCTTCTTCAGGGTAGTGACACCAAGGTGCGACATGACAGGCGAAACGTCGGCCTCTCTGCCAACGACGCGGCGTCACCTGGACAGCCTAGAAATCAGACCTAAGGATAGTCAGGCGAAAGGACAGACAGACTTTACGCCACAATCCAATTTCAGATATGAAGGACACACAAAATGTAGATTGTGACTTAGAGGAAGTATTATAATACTACATATAGAAACAAGAAT